TACAACAACTATTCAAAGAAAGACCACGAAGTAGGCATTTGCAACATGCAAGACTGGGCTGCTTCAACTACCGTCACTGGTGATAAGAAGGAACTGAGCAGGCGGCAGGTCACCAAGGACCTATGTACACTGTCATAAAGGTGCCACTCCCGGGAGCTCCACAGCTGACCCGACGGGTACTGCTAGAGGAAAAACCTTTCAACAATCGTGCACGCAGTGCATGCACACCTAATTGAAAGGGACATGAGCAAACACTAGGAGAAGAACAAGTAATCTTCAATTGATCCATCCCGTTGCCCATTCCCAGCTTCTGGCAAACAGAGGCTAGGGACACCATCTCTACCCATCCTGGCTAATAGCCATTGATGGACCTATCCTCCATGAATTTATCGAGTTGTTTTTTGAATCCTGTTACAGTCTTGGCCTTCACAACATTCTCTGGCAAGGAGTTCCACAGGTTGACTGTGCATTGTGTGAAGAAATACTCCTTTTGTTTTAAACATACTGCCTTATTTAATTTGGTGACCCCTAGTTCTTATGTTATGCGAAGGAGTAAATAACACTTCCTTATTTACTTTCTCCACACCAGTCATGATTTTATAGACCTCAGTCATGTCCCCCCCTTAGTCGTTTCTTTTCCAAGCTGAAAAGCTGAAAGCTGAAAAGTCCCAGTCTTCTTAATCTCTCCTCATGTGGAAGCTGTTCCATGCCCCTAATAATTTTTGTTGCCCTTTTCTGAACCTTTTCCAATTCCAATGTATCTTTTTTGAGATGGGGCAACCAAATCTGCATGCACTCTTCAAGATGTGGGCGTACCATGGATTTGGATAGAGGCAATATGATATTTTCTGTTTTATTATCTATCCCTTTCTTAATGATTCCCAACATTGTTAGCTTTTTTGACTGCTGCAGAACATTGAGTGGATGTTTTCAGAGAACTATCCACAATGACTCCAAGATCTCTTTCTTAAATATTAACAGCTAATTTAGACCCTATCATTTTATATGTATAGTTGGGATTATGTTTTCTAAGGAGCATTACTTTGCATTTATCAACATGAATTTCATCTGCCATTTTGTTGCCAAATCATCCAGTTTTGTGGGATCCTTTTGTAGCTCTTCAGAGTCTGCTTTGGACTTAACTATCTTTAGTAGTTTTGTATCATCTGCAAATTTTGCCACCTCACTGTTTAGCCCTTTTTCCAGATCATTTATATATATGTTGAATAGGACTGGTTCCAATACCGACCTCTGGGGGACACCAATATTTACCTCTCTCCATTCTGAAAATTGACCATTTATTCCTACCCTTTATTTATTATCTTTTAACCAGTTACTGATCCATGAGAAGACCTTCCTCTTATTCCATGACAGCTTACTTTGCTTAAGAACCTTTGCTGAGGGACCTTGTCAAAGGCTTTCTGAAAATCTAAGTACACTAGATCCACTGGATCTCCCTTGTCCACATGCTTGTTGACCCCTTCAAAGAATTCTAGTAGATTGATGAGACATGATTTCCCTTCACAAAAACCATGTTGATTCTTCCCCAATACATTATGCTTATTTATGTGTCTGACAATTCTGTTCTTTACTATAGTTTCAACTAGTTTGTCTGATGTGTTGCAGAGCGGCCAAAACAGCAGCTGAGTGGTTTTGTTCATTTCTGTCAGGTACTTTTTAGCTGCTTCTGCTAGATAATTTCTAATCAGCCTCAGATGCTTTCTCCTATGGAGTTTCCCAGGGGTCAGATTTATAGACATTGTTCATGTGAGTCAAATCACTAGGAGAAGTGATAGGGCAGGAGGATCTCAGTGTCAACAATATGTGAAGGCGTAATCTACATTACTGTCTCACCCAGTCACAGATGATTAAGATGTGGACAAGAGATAGCTTGTTGAAGGTCCACCTGGATACAATAGAGATATTTTTCTTAGGGGAATGGAAATACATTTCATTTGTTGGTGATGACCCTATCTATGCAGGCAGGCAAAAGGGTGGGTAACTAGGGGCTAATTTTAGTCCATGGCTTAATTATGAAAATTAAGTTTTCAGTAGCAATCAGGAATCATTCTTCTATCTTTCCAGTATTTCGAAGCTGCAGCTTTTCCTGAGGACAGTGATCTCACCAGTCCTTTGTGACCCACAGACTGACTTGCTGTACTGTGCTTTACTTGGAACAACCTTCTATCCCAGAACATAGTAGCACTACTGCTCAAAGGCCTGTGCCTGAAAGAACTGGTGGCACCCAGGCTCTGAGACAGACACTCTCTGTAGTTCAGCAAGCGTATGCAAAATCTTAGTATCATTATTTAAGCCAGCAGCATCAGAACTGACTATATATAAGGAATTTAGTTGGGTTTTTTTTTCCATTCATTCTTCCCTTTTGATGTATGTAAAAAAAATCTAGACTTTTCCTTTTTACTGTTTTCTAGTATTTATATATGGATTTTAATTTTCCTTTCATAGAATCATAGAATCATAGAATATAAGGGTTGGAAGGGACCCCAGAAGGTCATCTAGTCCAACCCCCTGCTCAAAGCAGGACCAATTCCCAGTTAAATCATCCCAGCCAGGGCTTTGTCAAGCCTGACCTTAAAAACCTCTAAGGAAGGAGATTCTACCACCTCCCTAGGTAACGCATTCCAGTGTTTCACCACCCTCATAGTGAAAAAGTTTTTCCTAATATCCAATCTAAACCTCCCCCACTGTAACTTGAGACCATTACTCCTCGTTCTGTCTTCTGATACCATTGAGAACAGTCTAGAGCCATCCTCTTTGGAACCCCCTTTCAGGTAGTTGAAAACAGCTATCAAATCCCCCCTCATTCTTCTCTTCTGCAGGCTAAACAATCCCAGCTCCCTCAGCCTCTCCTCATAACTCATATGTTCCAGACCCCTAATCATTTTTGTTGCCCTTCGCTGGACTCTCTCCAATTTATCCACATCCTTCTTGAAGTGTGGGGCCCAAAACTGGACACAGTACTCCAGATGAGGCCTCACCAATGTCGCACCAATTTCCGCACATTCAGTCCCTTTTCTAAAAGGTATTGGGGCATATAACCTAGTCATTGTATGTTGTTTTTACTTTATATTGACTTTTTTAGCACTGTTATCATAGGGCACTGGCACCCAGAAATAAACTAGTTCATCCAGCAGGTGTGGTAACACACTATATAGCAGAGCAGCCATTCTGCTATCCACTCACCATCTACAAAGCCCAGTTCCCATGATGCACCTATGAAAGACCTTCCGCAGGTTGAGGGACAAGGATGATACACAGAGGCAGCATTCCTCTCCTGTAGATCAGTTCCTCTCAAGTTCCTTGAAGTAGGAGGAACGATACAACCCTCAATCATCATGATATAACAATTATCATGTACCAAAAAATCCCCAAATCCTTAAAAATTCCCTTACTCCTCAGAGAGACAAGTACAATGGAAAGATAGAAATATCATATGATTTATTATAAAACGTTTACAAGCATAAAGTAGAAATCAACTAACTGAATATGAAAAAGATCCACTACAATTAATTAGTAAAAATATGTAATTGGGAAATTCAATCAAAAAGTGTTATTTCTTGAACAAATGTCCACCAAAATGAGAACCAAGTGCAACCGATGCTTTTCACATAGCCATTATAAAGCAGGTATGAAAGAAAAATTCAACTGTCTAACGAAGGTTTCATCATCTGCAATTATTTCATAACTGTCTCTCTCAGATGAAACCACACAAAGTGGGTGAGGTAACATCTTTTATTGGACCAACTTCTGTTGGTGACAGAGACAAGCTTTTGAGCTTACACAGAGCTCTTTCAACTTGGTAGCTGTAGTACCCTCTTTCTTACCGAGATGCCCAGAAAAAGACAATACACAGGAGGAGAGATATTTAACTAACTCGGAAAGAACATTTTTGTATTTACTCAGAATTTGTTTTTAACAAGTGAAATCCCTCCAAACTGTAAGGATTCCAAAGCTTTTGTGTGCTCTGCCCAAAAGTTGTATGCAGTGTTGTTGTAGCCATGTTGGTTTCATAATATTAGAGAGACAAGGTGGATGAGGTAATATCTTTTACTGGACCAAAAGTGGTATTTAAGTTACCAGTGTCTGCTGTGAATTCAATCTCAAAATTAACAAAGAATGAGTGGAAGCTGCTTTTCACAGAGGAACTGACCACTTAGGAACAGTGAAAGGGAAAAGCTTATTTCCTATTTAAAGAGAGGTGTTCAGGTCAAAACTGAGCTGTGGATAGAACCCCCATCCATCCCCTCACATAGGCAAGTTTTCTTTGAACAGCTCCTTAACCTGGTCACTGAGAGCCAATTACAGAAATAAAAATGCTAGGTAACATCCATTCAAGGACAGTATTGATGGTTCTACTAGGACCTAAGGACTCTCTTAAATCTAAAGTTACTAAAATTACTATATAATATGGTAGAAATTGTGAAAAATATGCTAAAAAGTAAAAAGGAGGGCTAATTTTCAAACCAAATTTATAATATAACACATACCAGAACTTCAGAAATTATATAGAAAGCTAACTTTATTGTAAGCAAATTAACACTGTGAGAGCATACTTTTTAGATGCTTCATTAGCACCTGAGTTGTGACTATTGTGTGATACACACAAACACTGTTATGCAGTACCTCCCCACTGAATTATTTCCAGACTATACTAATGTAATAAATCTTAATTGATTAAGCTTACTAAGTACAAATTAAGAGGAGGTATAATTGAATTGACTCAAGCAAGCAATAAATCAAAATATTTTTGAGAAGGTATGTTTAAAGAGTGGTTCTACTCTGAAAAGTAACTTTATAAAAACAGGTTTCAGAGTAGCAGCTGTGTTAGTCTGTATTCACAAAAAGAAAAGGAGTACATAGTGGCACCTTTAGAGACTAACCAATTTATTTGAGCATGAGCTTTCGTGAGCTAGAGCTCACTTCATCGTATGCATCCGATGAAGTAAGCTGTAGCTCATGAAAGCTTATGCTCAAATAAATTGGTTAGTCTCTAAGGTGCCACTAGTACTCCTTTTCTTTTTATATAAAAACAGCACTTTCTTATACAACAGATCTGCACTGCATGCATTCAAGGTCTATTTGCTCATTTTAGTGACAAAAATTAGTTCCTAGAGCTTTTCACGCCTGTTAGCCTGTGGTTGGTCTTGCGTTGGTCAAGACTCAGTGAGCTACCATCTTGTACAAGACCATCTTGTACCTCAGCAACAGAATTGTTTATTAAGATCTGCTAAGTTATACATGTGCAAAGGCATTCAAGGCAATGGGGCTGCACAGGTCTCATGAGGGCATAAATTTGGATTGCAGAATTTTTATTACTGGCCATGATGCATAAGATGGCAAAAGGCTCAGTTTGCAGAGTTGGAAGTTATAAAGATTTTTTTTCTACTTTTCAGTGGAGCACATTTCATAAAGAAATTATTGAGACACACCACCGCAGAACACTACAATGTCATTTATACAGCCACTATTCAGAGGAGAACCATGCTTTAAAACTATCATAACAACAATAACAACAAACCAAGCCACAGTGAGCCCTAGTTACTGTACCTGATTTCCAGGCTTTGGCCTCCAATTTGTCCACACCAGCACACACAGTTTTGTCAACTAACACTTGTTCACACAGGTATTGGAATTTTTGCACTGAAAACTCTTTACGACAAAACATGCCGAACAAAGTACTGTGCGTACATATACAGTATTAGTATCAGTTATCTGTGTGAACAGGTGTTAGTGCACAGAAGGTGTGTATGGAGATACAGACTTGTGATAAGCTGCATGTCAATAAATGGATGCCCTACTGAAAGTCAGACCCTCAGATTATGCTATCTAACTCCGCCGTGACCTCAGGAGAGTCACAACATTTTACCAGGTTTCAGAGTAGCAGCCGTGTTAGTCTGTATTCGCAAAAAGAAAAGGAGGACTTGTGGCACCTTAGAGACTAACAAATGTATCTGAGCATAAGCTGTGTGCTCACGAAAGCTTATGCTCAAATAAATTTGTTAGTCTCTTAGGTGCCACAAGTCCTCCTTTTCTTTTTGCGAACATTTTACCAGTTAATGGTAACTATTCTGAATTAGCAAGCAGCATTTGTTTTTGCAAACCAAAAGTAAGCATACCGGATCTGTAATGGCTTTGAGACTTAAATCTATGGTAACCACAGCTTAAAGACATGATATGGCACCATAATAGCCATCTTCCTCTTTATGTAGGTAAGAAGAATCTCAAATAAAATACCTCTATACGGTATGTTGGCCCTGGGTCAGATAAGCACATTTAAAATTAAACATCTGCTTAAGTCCCATTGTCTTAAATGCTACTAAAGTGCTATTCTTAAATAGAGATGCTTTTCTGAACTTGGATCTTTATGTTTTTTGCAGATGCATGTTCCCTGCTGAATTATCTTAAGACAAGTAGCGTGGCTATGAAACTGTGATACCATGCAGTGGAGTAATCATTTACTAAAAAACAAATGTTATTCTAAAACACACTGGCAGGGAGACTTTTCAAAGGCACAACTGGGGATTAGGCACTCACCTGCCCCTTTAGCCTTTGAAAATCTCCCTGAACCTTTAGTAAGCAGCATTTTAACAACTATTCAGCTGATTACATTCCAATGGCTGAAGTAGTTTATGTGGGATATGGTCACTATGTTAAATCGTGAGGGAATGATGTCAGAAAATGAGATAATCGGGGAATATATTAAAACAATAATATAAGAATAGGCACTTGCACAGTCCTTTCCATCCACAGAGCATCTCAAAGCAGTTCAAAAAAGATAAGTATCAGTGCCCCAATTTCACGGCTATGAAAATATGCACAGAGCAGTTAAGTGACCTGCTCAAGGTAACATTAATTCCACAGAAGATCAGGAATACAATCAAGGCCTCCTGCATCTCCATCCTTTGCCCTTTTCACTGGGCCACACAGCTCTATGGTTGTGAGACTACCAAACGTTCAAACACACATGTGCTGTTATGTGCAATCAGTGCAGAAAGAAAAAAAAAAGCAATACTGCCCCAATGATACATTAGACAAACCCAAAGGGTGGGCTAAAGCGGATCAAACCACATCAGCAATCACACAGTTTAAACTTTCACATTGAAGTTGTTTTAGATAAGTGAGAAACATTCAACTACTTAGTCTCAAAGGTCTTCTAAGTATTTGTTTAAATAGTAGTTAGGAATTCAGGGCAGATCCCCATTTGTGGTGAACCTGAAATACATTTGATGAATATTGTATTTCATAGTAAATTCTGAAAATAAGGGATAATTTCTTTAAGCTATTTTGGAAACATGTATATATGAGGAAAACTATGACCCCAGTCAGCAACAGAAGCACTGAAATTATCTCCTTAAAAAGAAATGGCATATACCCTCACTGAAGGCAATAAATGGATTTTATCTTGTGTTAATTACAGTACTCAGCTTGATTTCTGACTGACTTGGTGTCACGTACCATTTGTTTCAAGACATTTGGTTTACTATTCACAACACAAACATCTGAAAGTTATACAAAAACAAAACTTTCTAGCACACAAAATAAAAAGAAATCGAAGTCAAAAGATTTACATTAATATTTACATAGCACCGCAGACTAATCTGTAGCTCAGGACGGCTTCATTCCATGATCAGCTCCTCTACAAAGTATTTCAACTTTTGAGTCAACTAAATAAGAAATCTTTCATCCACCAAGGTTTTGGATGCCAAATTCTTCTGCCCAGCAGTATTACGAATAAACCTAAAAATCTAAAAATAATATTAAACAAGTTTCATAACAATGGAAAAATATTTTAAATAATTCTGTTTCTGTACATGATACAAAATAATTAATCAATTATGTACTCTGTCAAATGTTTGGACTTTCCACAACAGTATACCTTCATTAGACAGGCTCCTATACTAACACTAGGCTTTTTTATTTAGGAATCAAATGTTAAATGACAGATATTAGCAGCCCTCAACACTTAAGAGGCTGAGCTGAGGACCTCTAAAAACCTGTAAACTATGATCATGATAATGGTAATAACATATTACCTGGATTGTTTGTGTGTCACACTAATGATACTGTAATACAAGATGTTTTTCCAAGGGTGGAGAATCAAGCAATCTGTTATGTCCAAAATACAAATCCTTTAATTATATTTGTAGCATCCCTTCCCTTCTGAGGAAAAGACTGAACCCTCCAAATATTTATATTTCTACTTATTACATCAGAACTTTCGAGTCATATCTTAAACAGTTTATATTCCAAAAATTTTTACTACTGGTGACATTTACAAACATGATCAAGTTGATCACATATGGAATTGTGTGAAGGAGAAAGAGGAAGAAACTACATCTTAATGGAAATACATTCATTTTGGTGGAGATTTCCAAAAGGGGCCTAAGAGGGTTAGGTGCTCTGCTCATTAGATTTCAAAGGGATTTGGGCACTTAACTCCCTTAGGCCCCTTTGCAAGTCCCAGCATTAGCTATTTTGGGACTCTGATTAATTTTCACTGCTCTGTGTATTTTCTTTTGAGCGCTATTATTTGTGTCCTATACATACATGGTGCATAAAAAAGCAGTGTAATTTTTTTTTGGTTCATAAGTCTTTTCTTATTTTAGGAGAAAATCCAGTATTTTTTAAAATAGTTTGTTAGTATAGTTTTCTGTGAGCACACCCTATTAAATACAGAAATTAGATAAACTACCTTATTTTTAAAATATTTAAAATTTAAAAATGTAAATTTACCTCCTGTTGCAAATATGTAAGAACAGCTGCTAGGACAAAACTTTGGGAAGCCAAATCCACAACAGAGAAAAACAGTATATCGAAGATGAGAAGTGTGGCCTCATTGCCATAAAAGAGAACATCACTGAAAGAATGTCCTTCATCTATAGAAAGAAAATAACTTGTTGCAAAAAAATATAAATTAAATCTGAATTCTGTGATAATAATTTGTGAAGTTCCCTAATACAGGTCAGCATACTTAAGATTACAAGATCATTGATAAAACAATAATGGAAATTTAGGACAAGGAAATACACCACAGAAGCATAATCATAATACTGGTCTCAACCAAAAACAACATAACTTTTAAATATAATCTACAATATAGCTTTTCTGACAAAGTGCCAGATTTTCAAAAACAGGTGTGCAACATTCACAACTGCATTCATATACCTACATGCACCTAAATCTGAAAGTTTGAACCAGATTGATGGTAAATTTAGCCATTTTTATGTCATATGCACCTCTGAGTTCCTTGTCACTAACATCTTGAGCAAGCGCTGACTCTGGCCCTGATTCAGCAAAGTAATTAGATGTGCTTAAATGCTTTGCTAAATCAGGGCCTCAGTAACAGGAGGTCTTTAGTTATGTCTCCTCATTTGGTTTTCAGGACAGAGTAATCCCTTTGTTTTAATATAGCGTGTTTTCAAGTTCAGATCACTTATCCCCTTCTATGTCTTTTATCAATACGTAACATTCCCTACAGAGAAACATGAATTTATACACAATAATAATAATAGCAAAGAAAAAGAAACAATATTAAAATACCAGAAAATATTTTGACCAGGAAGCCTAAAAACAAGAAACAGATCTACTTGAATATAAGTAATTGGAGAAGAGAAATCCTCCCCCAATTTTTCCACAGCTTCAGAGAGGCATGTGTCTAATCTGGTTTCCTAATGGTTAACCAATTTCCATACATTTTAAGGTAAATATCTCCTAACTGTGGCTTGGCATATTTCATGGAGTCTCTTAACTCCATTTTATTCTCTCAAGAGCTAGCCCAAAGAGGCCCAAACCCAACTTACACGGGCTGTGGTTCGCATCCCAACCTCCTCTGTCATTTTGTTCTCCTAGGTAGTAAAATTCAACTGTTCATTTCATCTTTAAACTATCACACAGCTGCAAATTCCAGATATAGCACAAAATACAGGTAATACAATACTGACCTGATCGCCATATGTAGTGATGTGTGGTTATCCCTATATTATGTAAGTTAAATGGGGGAACACATTAAGTCTCTCTGCTCTAGTTTAATGGATGCAGTGCAGGATTTATCAACAAGTGCAGCTGAAATCCTGGAATTTCCCCTGTTCTCCTGAAACTGGTTCCTCTTGTGCCCCCTAAGAAAAGTTACTGCTCATTAAATGTAGTTCAAGTGTGGCCTTGTGCATCTGTGAGATACAAACTCTTGACACCACATGAACTTTCTAGAAAGCAGTGTTGGGGGTGCACAAGTGTGGTTTCCCAGAATTGAGTATTTGGAGGAGAGGCTATAAAAAAAGCTGTGCAGACTCAACCTCCTCATTTCCTTCCACTAAACCATGGAGACCTAGGGAAACAGAACTCCGAGAAAGGTGGGAAGGTGAGTGGATATTGTGAATATGCAGAGGCAAGAGTCTCAAATCATGATAGTTCCTGATGAGTAACCTTCAGAAAATGGCTTCTGCAAATTCCCCACTTCAGGCAGTTTAACAAGCAATACCATCACCAACTATGCCAAGAGGCATTCTAATTAAACAAGGACTGATGGCCAGCTGCTTGGCCTGTCCTCCCCACACAATGTGAGTATCAGTCCTCGATGCCAAGTCATAAAGAGTACTGTGTAAACATATACACAGCTCCAGGTAGCAACCCTTCAGATACCTAAGACTGAAACGTTACAAAGGCATGCCATTGAAGAACAACCCTCATGACCCAAGGTACTGTCACCCTGGCTAATGCATAGCAGGTGTCTCCCATACTCTCACAATTCTCATTGTCACACCTCTCTGTTGGAAACTCCAATTTAGAGTGTGAACCCCAAGGCCAGGAAATTACATTTTATTTGTCTGAATATCACCCTGCACATGTATAGTGAAATAAATATTAAGTCAAAGAGATCAAGCTGATACCATTGTAAAAGATACTTTTTTCCATTGGTTCCATGAACTCCATGCCAATAATTCGTTCAAGCAGCAACTTGTCCTTTACAATATAATCCATATCCTTATGAACCTACAAGAGGAAAAAACAAAAAAAACCCTCTAATACTTAGCTCTGGGATCTTCAGGGTAAAAAATGCTAGAAGTGCACTTTACAAAAGGTGGAGTATAACTACTTAAAATAGCAGTATGAATTAAAAGACTACTGTCCATTCTGTTTACTCCTGAGGGAATTCTGAGACAAAAAATTAAAAATTCTGCAGACAATATTTTAAAATTCTGCAAATTTTATTTGTCAATAAATAGATGTGGAGGCTCCAGCATAGCCACGGGGAGCACAAGCCACTGGCTGCACGGAGGTGGGAGATCACCCTGCAGCTCACTCCCGGGACACCAACTTAGTGGTGAGGCTGCACCTGACTCTGACACAGCGCATGGGCCAGGACTGCCCCAGTCTGTACTGGAACCTCCATATTTATTTATTTATTGCCTCAAGAGTAGCAGGTGAAGCAACTCACCAGGGTGAGCAAAACTGTGCCAAGAACACCAGGTGTGGGCAGCCAGGCTCAGTATGGCAGGATCCAAGTGTGCAGGGACTTCGTGTGGGGGGATCCAGGTGTGGGTGAGAGGGTTCTATGTGGGTCAATCTGGGTGTGGGCAGCTCAGTGGGGGGAGGGATCTGGATGCAGGAGGGTTGGGCAGACAGGGGAGCAGCACCCCATATAGCGATTCCTCCCCCCACAGCTGAGGAGTGATGGGACCAGGAAGCAGGGGAGAGGTGCAGAGCCAGAGTAGGTTTCTGGGGGTAGGTCTGACCCGGCCCCGGCCCGGCTGCTCCGTGCAGGGGAAGTGTCCTTCTCCCCCACCCCCAGCCTCGCTGGGACTAACAGCTGAGCCCGGCTCAGGGTATGACCCCCTGGCCAGGGTGAGGCTGGTGAGGGCTGGGTACAGGAGTATGGGGCTCTGGGGGTGGGGATGGTCTGGACACAGAGGGGGGGCGGGCTCGGCGGGGTGGGTGTTTGTGTGCAGGGGACTCAGCGGGGGAGTCTGGATATTGGGGGTTCCGGATGCATTGGGGGTGGGTCTGACCTGGCACTGGCTGGGGTTTCCCCAGCCCCACCACAGTGATTTACCTCTCTCCGTTGCTTGCTTCGAGGGGCGCGTGACTGCTCTTGTAGCTTCCCTTTGCTTCCCCGCCAGAAAGTCATTTTTTTGGGGTGAAGCAAAGAAATCTGCATGGGGCAAGAATTCTGCCCCCAGGAGTATCTGTTATACAATGAATTCATACTATCAAGGGAATTGATGTAAGTGAAAAGTGTGTTGGCATTACTGGGCAGTACACTTATTTTTTGTCTCCTGCGAAGTAGTATTGTAGTAACAATACAACCTCCATTGACCAGTCTCTAACTTTATATCCCAAAAGGTAAATCACAATCGCTCATCTCTCACTCTCTCATTCTATTTAGCCTTATAAATAAAGTCTGTATACATACATGGTCAATAAAGGAGCCAAGAAATTTGTTCATTGTATGGTATGCCTTAGTACTCTGTTCAAAAGTAGTTGCAGATGAATCTAAAAGTCTAGCAGGACCATGTTTCTGAAAAATATTATGATGTGAAAATTAATTTAAAGACTGCACACATCCTTGGTCGGTCAGGTTTTAAATATAAACATAGCAAAATGCCAGTGTTAAAAATATCATACATACCCTTGTTAGGGTTTCATGAATCCTATCATACTGCTGTCTCATCTTGTTTGAAATGGAAATCCGAAATGTCTGGCCATCTGTGTTGGGTAATAAGCCTCTTTGACTACACAAATTTTCCTGCACAATTGAAACATAAAATAGCATAAAAGAAATGGAAATATGCATGTACAAACCAGTTAGATACTATTGTTTTGATATGGCAGCTGCTTTTAGACTCTCTTAGACCTCTGTAAAGAGGTGTCTATTAAGAGACTTTCATAAAGAGACAAATCTGAAAAACACTTGCACAGAAAACAGTTTATTCTGTCTGCATTCTTCAATTCCAAATCCAGCTTTCTTTGCTTCTCTGCAGAAAAATGACTCATGCAAGTACAGAAGGTTAGATATATCTGAATCTTTGGCACTAAGTCTATGACAGCAAAAGTATTTTAGGACAAGAACCCCGATACCAGTTGTTGTGAGGATATTTCCTACTTTAGACCAGCACACAGTTTGTTAGTTTTAGAACATCTTTGATCTTCACACACACTCTTCATTTATTGATAGGAAGCAGGAGAATACAATTCTTCCTTCTCTCCATAAAAGAAGAACTGAATAAATTGTAAGAGTTGGTCCCGGAATAGCCATCGCTTATTAGTTCTTCTAATTTGTTTGTTCTCTCCTTATTCAGTTCTTTTCCCTTATTTTTTGCTTTCCCTCACCCTCCTCCTTTAAGTTCCGAATTCTTTCCATATTTTTCTTTGTTCCTACTTAAAAAACAAACCCAAAAAACCTAACTGCAAAGGAGGAAAGACTGATGTTTCAAAAACTGATGTTCCCACAGAATGAAAATGCTTCTCTCTAAATTACTTTAAATTAAGCTACTAAAGGAAAAGTGGGGAGGGGAGAATCAATTTAAAAGGAACTTTTTAAGGATAAAAAACTACATTTCAAAATTAAGTTTTTCCTTATCTTATTTACTAGAACGTCAAAGTTCTTTGTATCTTTATGATACTCACCTTTTCTCCCTACTTCATCCTGCAGTGATGCTGGAAAACTGAAATTTAATGACAAGTCACTAATATCAAATTAACTTCACTGCAGGATTAAGCAGACACTTATGATGAGTGTGAAAACGTCTCTTCAAGCTGATTTCTCCAATAAATTAGTATTGCCATCAGAGAGCTGCATTTGGAATTGAAGAATTCAGTCAGAATAAACTGTTTTCTGTACAAGTGTTTTTCAGATTTGCCTCTTTATGAAAGTCTCTTAACAGAAACCTCTTTACAGAGGGCTAAGAGTATACAAGCAGCTGCAGTATCAAAACAATAGTATCTAACTACATGAGAAAAAAAATCATATTTTAGAAAGACAGAATTTTCAGTAACCCAAGGAATCAGTCTTCGAAGTAGAAGAACGAATAAGCGACTGCTATTTCAGGACCAACTCTTACATAAGGAGAGAACAAACTCAGAGTTGGCATACAACTGTGCACCTGTTATGCACCAAACTCTCTACATTCAGTTACAAAAAGGGAATCAAAAGATATATATTTGTATTTCCTTTGCATACCGCTTCTCTCTTTAGGTTCATATTCATTTCTTCCATATTGGTATCTGCGTGTCCATGCACAGACCGACCATGGATATAATACCCAAAGCATCTGTGTGACAAGAGAAATACTGAAATCTAAAAAACAAAAAGGAAAAAAATAGTTTATTTAATACATGGAATCAAAACTAAAAAATTACTAATGGATACCAGCAGAGCCAGCTCTACTACTTGGATAAAATAGGTCCTAAAATACCAAAATGTGTGTGTCAGAAAAATGTTTAGTAACAATTTATGTGCAATACATACAATTCAATTTACCTAGGTCCACAAAACCCCTCTTGCTAGTCGTAGGGTTCAGATTATTAACAGCCTGTGTCACTAGCTGTTCTCCTGAGTAGAAAAATCTAAGTCAAGGACTCTGGAAAAAACAAACAAACTATAGCTTTTATCCTAATAAAAAAAATTCAAAAGGCATTCAGTGAACTAGAATAAATAAGTTCAATGGTTTCAGTTCAACTCCTAGCAAGCTATATATAACAGAAATCTACTTAGTAAGGAACATCACTTGTCTGTCATACTAATATGACTTCTTAAAGCTATCTGGGTCACCTCCATGCAGTAGACTTTAGTTTAGCTCTCCAGCCTAACTTACACAACAGACGTGGGTTCAGGTCTTTAACTACACAGGGTAACAAAATCCAGAAGCTTTGTGGAAGTGATAGGTTTAGCCCGGGAGGGCTCAAACAGAAAAAATGCTGAATGATATTCAAAAGCCACACTTTTTCTGGTCAAATAAATGAGCTGTACTGACTGGTTCTGGTTGTGTTCTACCTTGGTTGATAAGAGAATAGCTACTAAGTCTCAACGGTGGGAATTTAAACTGGAAGAAATCTGGGGTGGATCCAGACGGCAATCAGTAAGTAGGGTTACAAGAGAAAGATTACATCAGTAGGGGGTATTTAAATTAGAGTAAAGGAAATCAATGGATAACCAAAAGCAAATAGAAACTGTAACCATGAACATATTAAAACAGAGAAGCTTCTAAGAGGAAAAAGCTCTATAATACAAACAAATAGAAAGGCCTACAAGAAATGGACTGCATGCCTTACTTCTGTCCTGATTTGTTATTGCTTCATTCTCAAGTAAAAGCATGAAGAAATAGTCATATGCCTATTTGGAGTTACATGCCTGAAACCCTGTATGACGTTTATGACAGTTTACTCTTTCAAACCTAACCCATATTACAGGCAATTTGAAGCCTTCTTGTACACCACAGCAAGAACCCCAAGCCTGCTGAGGACACACACAATGGTAAAGAACATTAGCTTTGGATATTAGCTAGTACAACATTATATTTAAAGCTAAAAAAAATGGAACCTCTTAATAACTTCTAATATATTAATCCATTTAAAAAAATAGCAATTGCAGTGATGAAATCAAAATTACTTACATTGCTCATAGAGCACAAATCAACAAATTGTCTTATCTTATCTTCTACAAATCTCTCATAAAATACAGCAAAGAATATGATCTGAAACAAACCAGATTTTTATTTATTAGTGCATCAGCTTTGACTTTCTTTTCTCAACTATAGTACAGCTAGCTTAAAATGTAGCTGTCACAAAAGACAAACTGCAGGAATTGTCAGCTTCACATTGGGCTCAGTAAAACCTTGCTTCCCTTTCTGAGTCCCTCCTCCAAGGAGGAGAGTTTCAGCAATCACTTTAAAAGCTTGGTTTAAAATTTGAAGACGCTCCATGACTATTTAAAAACAAAATAAAGCAGATAAGGGAATACTTCTTAGACAGGAAATTCAAGATGGTGACTGAAAGGCAAAATTTTATGGAAGCCATGGGACCCCTTGTGACTTGGACAAATTGATGACATGTTAAGTAAGCTATACGTCCTGATTCAGCAAAACACTTAAACAGACACTTAAAGGGATAGGGAAGTTATTGATGTCCTTCAAGTTAAGTGATTTGGTCAACTAGGGCCATAATGATGATTCAGAGTTACATATGCCAGAGCTATACCTGTAACATGGCAATGACTAGCCAGAGGACAGTAGACACACCAAATCTCAGAATGCGACTCCAGGGAGCTATGTAACTCTCACTGCTTCTTGTAAGACTTGTAGAAGAATCCATTAATGCCAGGTTTGAAAATCCAACAACCTGAAGAGAGATTAAAGAAAAAGCTTATTCTTAAATCAGACACCTATACATAATACAGCAATGAATAGCATCATTGAAAAAAATCTGTTATTTTCATTCTAATTTCCTCTTCTTGAGAGTTTCAGTAAATAATAAAAATTTATATGAAGCAGGGACTGGGAAAGCAGAGTCTACTTGGGACAGTGAGTGCACAACACATGGTGAGCTTTATAAATCACACTCCTCTAATGGGCATTGCTGCTCTGTGCTGACATGCCCTAATAGTAAATTTTTTTGATTCACATAATGGACCATAGCAATGGCATATAAAGCCCCATACCAAAACACTGGCTTCTTCCTTTAAGACCATTTTTCCAGATAAATCTTTGAAGGTTGCCTCCCATTGCTGTAGGAATTGCAAACATCAAAAACTGGCCCTAAAGTTACATCAAAATTTAATTTAAAAAATACCTCCAAAAAGAAAAGAACTGCAAGCACTTGAAAGAGTGGATTTATCTTCCTCACAGTCTGAATTTCATTCCATTCATTTGCTATAAAATATGTCCTCCATATGCTCACAGGTGCAGCAGCACTTTTTATGCCACCTTCTCCTAGAAAAAATACAAAGAGTAAAACTTTCAAAATGTTATTCTTTGAGAAAGTAAGGTCTGAATTTAAGTGAAGCTAGTTATACAAACAAGTTACCTTCAACGGCTTTAAGGACTTTGCCTTTAGGTCGCTCCCAGTCAATAAAGAAAACCTCTACAGTAAGTTGCGAAAACAGCTTATGCAAAAATTGCAGAGCCTAAGAAAATCATACAATGAAATGTAAGTAAAAATAAATTTGCAGTAGCATTTACGAAAAGATAAAGTCATAACAAACAGATACTCTTCCTTTAATGTAACAAAACAATGAATAATACTCCCAACTGTACACAAGGTTGTAACTTTATTATGAAGTTCTGATGCCATCATAAATTAATTTGTAAAGCATTTGAAATTTTTAAAGAGTTACATGTTATTGTAAATAATGGAGTACAGCTCCTCTACGGGACCTCATACTTAACTGGCACAATAGTGATATGTGCAATGTCTAGTGTTATCAAGAAAATGTAAGCAATGTAAAATGCATGACAAAAATTGACTTGTTCCAGTCACTTTACTAGGGAAGAAAAGTTGATGAAAGTGATGGCCCAATAGGGCATATTACTATTTTTAGTACAAAATAGTATCCAGCATAATTGAAATACTTCCCCATGCAGGGAAACCACTAAATTCTGAAGTCTACAAACAAGTTGCCACTCTACAAAGGGAGAGTTTAATTAATTGTACTTGATGGTTAGGAACATTTTTTGGCCATGATTTAATATAGCGAAGTTTATTCTTGTCTTTAGAAGTCAATGTTTTGGTTTCTGATACAGTTTTGACTGTTATTTTAGCCAAGTCCCTTTCCACCTCATAGAATCATAGAATATCAGGGTTGGAAGGGACCTCAGGAGGTCATCTAGTCCAACCCCCTGCTCAAAGCAGGACCAATCCCCAACTAAATCATCCCAGCCAGGGCTTTGTCAAGCCTGACCTTAAAAATTTCTAAGGAAGGAGATTCCACCACCTCCCTAGGTAACCCATTCCAGTGTTTCACCACCCTCCTAGTGAAAAAGTTTTTCCTAATATCCAACCTAAACCTCCCCCACTGCAACTTGAGACCATTACTCCTTGTTCTGTCATCTGCTACCACTGAGAACAGTCTAGAGCCATCCTCTTTGGAACCCCCCTTCAGGTAGTTAAAAGCAGCTATCAAATCCCCCCTCATTTTTCTCTTCTGCAGACTAAACAATCCCAGTTCCCTCAGCCTCTCCTCATAACTCATGTGTTCCATCCCCTAATCATTTTTGTTGCCCTCCGCTGGACTCTTTCCAATTTTTCCACATCCTTCTTGTAATGTGGGGACACAGTACTCCAGATGAGGCCTCACCAACGTCGAATAGAGGGGAATGACCATGTCCCTCAATCTGCTGGCAATGCCCCTACTTATACAGCCCAAAATGCCATTGGCCTTCTTGGCAACAAGGGCACACCGTTGACTCATATCCAGCTTCTCGTCCACTGTAACCCGTAGGTCCTTTTCTGCAGAACTGCTGCCGAGCCATTCGGTCCCTAGTCTGTAGCGGTGCATGGGATTCTTCCGTCCTCAATGCAGGACTCTGCACTTGTCCTTGTTGAACCTCATCAGATTTCTTTTGGCCCAATCCGCTAATTTGCCTAGGTCCCTCTGTATCCTATCCCTACCCTCCAGCGTATCTACCTCTCCTCCCAGGTTAGTGTCATCTGCAAGCTTGCTGAGGGTGCAATCCACACCATCCTCCAGATCATTAATGAAGATATCGAACAAAGCCGGCCCGAAGACCGACCCTTGGGGCACGCCACTTGATACCGGCTGCCAACTAGACATGGAGCCATTGATCACTACCTGTTGAGCCTGACAATCTAGCCAGCTTTCTATCTACTTTATAGTCCATTAATCCAGCCCATACTTCTTTCACCTGGTACTCTTAAATGAATGTGAAAGACTTCCTATAGGTGATTATTCATCTGTTTTCCTTCAAAAGACAGGAAAAATCAATTTTTAAGGAAAAATGATTTTGCCCAAAAGGATAAAACTTAAAACAATTCTTTCTTCCATATATTAATAAAATATAATATTCAAGATATTTGTAAACAGGCATAATGAAAAACAACATCCATTAAAATGTTATGATTGCCATTAGAGCAAAACATCTACCTTTAGAGCAAAAGCACATCCTACATATGTAACAAAATCCTCTTCTTGAGACGGAAGTGGTAAAAGAACTGAGACAAACTGCTGTGCCTGTAAGTGAAGAGCTACAATTAAATCATATAGACTGCACGCATAATATCATACTAAATACCAGAGTTGGTTGAAAACAGTGAATGTTTTTGGAATACATTTTGTTGAAATTTCTCAGGTAATAATTTTGAATTTTTGAAAGATTTTGACTAACTTCATTAAATACACTGCAGGCACTATGAAGCCTCAAGGGAGAGGAAGAGGTAAACACAAAGATTAGGCACAAAACACAGAGTATTATGTATATAACTTGCCTTGACAGTCTGACCAGAAATGGCAAAAAAAAGGAAAATAAAGGTGTGTAAAAATATGAATGCAATATATTTACTCAGAAAATAACATCTGTATCACAAATCTGAAAATTCTACTTACTTTGAAGAAAATAAGCCAGTAAAGCCCTGTTCCCATTGTGATGATAAAGAAAACATTGGCAAGGTCTCCAGCATAAAACAGCAAGAACTTCAAAACTGTCTGTAATTACAAAAGTGTATTACATAGAGCTCTAAAACAGGAAAATTACTGTGTGTGTGTAACACACACACACACACACACTGTAATACATAATATGTTATATAGTTCACTTGGTAGCTAATACTATAGTTGAAAATTGGTTTCCATTACAACCAGTTTTCATACCTGCAAGTCAATTATAGGGCTCCCTATCCGCCTCTTCCAGCCAGCAGTCTTCAGAAGAGACCATAAAACTGCCAGTCCACCAAGCACACCCAATGCAATCTAAAGAGAATGAAAACAAATTGTTTGCAGATTTGTTTTGTCTTTTTTATATAAAAGTTAACAAATATGCTGACAGATTAAGGGAGGCAAGAGACTTACATTTGTCTGAATTTGAGCCTCTGATTGGTTCATTTCATAATTAACTGAGAAGGAAACCTAAACATTAGGATACAAAAAGTAAATAAATACATATAACAAACTAACTCAGCTGCTACAACCAGTGTTTCAGCTATCCTCGTAATGCTGTACATCCTTCACATTCCCCAGAAAAGTTACTGAGTGCTTGATATTGCTCCTTCATCAACATGAATCAGGGATAACTTCACTGAAGTAGACTGAGTTACACGGACGTAAGGGAAAAAAAGCAAACCCTTAATAATTAGTTTGCTCAGTCACATGTGATTTTCCATCAATGTAAAGGAAACCAACAACATTAAAAGATCTAAAATAGCTCTCCTTAGACTGTACATCTGCTCTTAAAAAAAATGGACTGAGGTCAAAAGAATATGTAAAGGAGACAGTAAATCTTTGTCCTGTGGTTTCAGACTGAATCTCCCTAAGTTTAGCTTTGTGACTTTGGGAAGATCTCCAGTCTAGAAGTAGGTGGAAATGGATAGCATATTCAATTTGATAAAAGACTGAGGCTAGTGACTATTGCTCTGGTTTCTGAAAACATGTGTGCCTGCCGCTGAGAGAACCAATATGGTCACTTTAACTGGATCTGAGACTAAAAATATTTAGCCGCAGGAAGACAAGAGTTCATAACAGGCAGGATGTATTTTCGTAAGCGATTTTGTTGACAGAGCAGGCTTCATGTCAAATTTGTCTAGATGGGAGAGTGCTCCATCACAACTGACAGACTAGGGAACAAACTTTTAGGTGCACCAGGCCCTCCCATTTTTTTTTTAAACTTCCTCTACTTTCTGGTGTCAGATGATTTGGCCCACCCTACTGCTCTTGTTACTTTCAGCTGATTTCAACTGGCTTTTCTTGTCTGATGGGAGGCATTGTTTTAGACACAAAGGAAAAAAAAAAGTATTCTTCTCTCTTATTTTTCTACACTTGCTGTCTCCCACTTCTTTTCCAACATGCCACTCCAGCTTGAACAGCTCTAGCATTCAGTGCAGCGAACACTTTCAGCACCAAATGCTTCTAAACAGAATCCTATCAGTATCAGAGGCCTGAGTTCCTCAGAAGGGTTCATACAAAGAAAGAAGAGAAGGATTTTTTGATATCAGCCGTTTGTGAACGTTTATTCACTGTAGAACAGCTATTCTACTACATGAAATCTGACTTTTTAAATTCTTTAATGCTTAGTGACCTATTGCAAGTGACATCGTACTAAAGGAAATGACACTGCACTGTAGTGTTTTTGATCTTTTACCAGTACTTGCATTCGATTAAGCCAGAACACCCAGGCCATATTTGCTTCCTGTTAATACATGGATTTTAGAGGAAAATATGCTAATTTCTTGATCAAAATATTATAATTCAGTGCATTTAGTTCACAAGAGTTGCTTTTTCTTTCAGTTCTTCATACATCCGTTTCTATTTTTTAATTTGTACTTCAGCATGCTATACCACTATAAAGCAAATACATAATCTTAGATGACCTGTTTTTTAATGTACAGAAGGTTCAAATAAGGAAAGTGGAAGAGGAAAACATTTTCAACTGCTTTGTTTTAAAAATGTATTATATTTTATTGAGCTCTACTATCTTAATACTGAACAGATTTAGAAATTCTGCTTATTTCATCTTTAAATTTGTAAAGTGCAAACTCAAATGTAACTGTCAAAGAGCACCCCTGATGATTCTGTACATTAACAACAGAGAAGAACTCACCATCACACTCTGGGCATCTGGGTTTTGGACAAGAACATCCTTGTAGGAAATGGTAATTAGAGGGGGATAGATAGTTCCTCTCTGAGTATTGGGAATAAGACGAATACTGCAGAAATGCAAATAAAAAGTATTTGTAGCTGGAAAACACAAATTGATTGGAAAGTAAAATACTAAATATAAAACAAAAAAATCTGATCAATAAAATTGGATTTAGAAATATAACACTCTATGGCAATTAAAAAGTGACTGGAATACAAAGGTGCACTTTCACTCTCTCTACAAAAAAAGTTTACCATAGTAACTGATTCTCCAAGGTGATTTTTCATATGGGTGTGCTCTTAACACTCAAGTTTAGAATCCTCTAGATAGCCACTTACCCCTGCTTTTTAGAATTCTCAGAGTACACAAGCGGGAGTAACCCCACATTGCCTTTCAGTTTCTTCCCTTAATTCAGGGGACTCTGAAGAAGTGGGGAAGGTAAAGATAACCACATTTAGTATGTTATGTAACCATCTTTTCCTTTCAAAACTTGCTGCGCTCTTAACAGATTAACAAGCAGTTAATCTCCAAGAGATGGTCTAAAGGTTGTAGTTAAAAGCAACTGCAAGACTGCTCTTTCAGACTGGGCATGAGATCTAGAGGCAAAAGTTGACAAAATAATGTTACATAAGAATCTATAACCTCCAAGCAGCACATTTCCATATTTCACTGATGGACACAGTGCACATATATTTAATAGAGGCTGCTTAGATCTATTTGAATGTTAGGGGTATGGAATCAGCTTTCATACGAGGAGAAATTAAAAAGACTGAGATTGTTCATTTTAGAAAAGAGACGACTAAGGGGGGGGAATACGACAGAGGTCTATAAAATCATGAATTGTGTGGAGAAAGTGAATAGGGAAGTGTTATTTACCCCTTCACATACCACAAGAACTAGGGGTCACCCAATTAAATTAATCAGCAGCATGTTTAAAACCAAAAAAGGAAGTACTTCTTCACACAATGCATAGTCAACCTATGGAACTCGTTGCCATGGGATGCTGTGAAGGTCAAAAGTATAACTGGGTTCAGAAAAGAATTATATAAGTTCATGGAGGATAGGTTAATCAGTGGCTAACAGGGACACAACCCCATGCTCCAGGTGTCCCTAAACATCCAACTGCCAGAAGCTGGAACTGGACAGAATATGGACCACTCAAAATTGCCCTGTACTGTTAATTCCTGCTGATTATCTGGCAATGACCACTCTCAGAAGACAGGATACTAGACTGACCATTGGTCTGAACCAATATGGCTGTCCTTATGTCTTCTGGTATGCATAGGTAGTTGAATGTCTCCCAGCTCATAGCAATTATACATAGTCTGATCAATCTGGACAGCCTTTGAGCTGAGATAGACTAACTCCTGGGTCTTACCTTCACATACCACAACATGCCTGGGGAACCTGGGGAGAGGTTTGGCTCAATATAAAACAACAAATTTAAGACCCCCTGAACATCTAAAATACTGGAGCCTGACCTTCCTCGATACAACTGAGGCTTGGAAGAAAAGATATAAGATATAGAGGCCTGTTTGAGATGGAAATCAGAGATAACTTGGGCAGGGGGAGGGCATAGGAACACTTTTCCTTCTGAAACATAGTGGATCAGCTCTCAGTATTATAGCTCTGATTCTCTGCTATGTTATGACTTTAAAAACAGTGTCTTCACATAGACCTGGTAGAAAGAACAGACTAACAAGAGTTCATAAGCTTTGCAAGAATCTTATGATCCACATCCCAAGGCAGATGTGGTTCATTGGACCAGAGGAAGTACATGGAATAACCCTTTCAGAAAGGCTTGTTCCATCTGGATACCTTAGAGTGGAAAGATAAGATAGCAAAGTGGACCCTGAAAGCTCAAGGGTGAAACAGTAATATACACTCTATGATAAAAGCATCTGACTCTCTTGAATCTACTACAGTTTGAACTGTCTGCACGGAGAATCTCTTCCACTCTACCAACTAGGTTTGGCAGGTCAAAGGTTTCCTATTTTCCAACAGGATCTTTTGGACTTCAGCAGAAGACTAGATCTAATGATTCCAGCTTTCCAGAAGCCAAGGTGTCAGCCTGAGACACCTCAAATCTGCATCTCCCTACACAGAGGAATTCTTCACTGGCCATCTCCTACCATTTTAAGTTCACTTTATGCACAGCTTATGTGGTGAAAAATGGATTTAGCCGACTGCAGAATTCTGACCTCAATCTTAAATGGTGGACGAGAACCAGGGTAACTTCAGCACCTGCAAGTCTAGTTTTGAACATTCTCATTTTGATGAGTAAGAGAGCCTTCAAAATGTCCTACAGAAATTTTGCCTACTTCCTTCTACTTATGCAATAAGAAAAGCAGCAAAGGATACACTGAGACAGGCCTCTGTTCCAGGGACGGAATCTGTAGGTTTGGCAGTAATAGTGCAACTGCATTTCATAAGGTCAGCTTCATCTTTTATGTATATAAAACGTACATTGCCATTTATTCACCTGATGGTTATTTTGCTAGCAATTCGAATTATTCTTGGTTGTCTTCCCAAGTCATTCTCTTGTCCACTTAAACTATCCACCAAAAACATCCGACGAGTCAAAAGCCAATTGTTCATATTGCTGCCTATGAAAAAGAAATGGTAAAACTATACAATGCTTTAAAAATAGTAATTCAAAACTACAACAGGAATGAAGTAAATTGACTAAAATTGAAGTGATTTACATCATTGTATTAATGATTATACATATTTATTGCTATTATTTGAAGAGGATTGTATTAAGAAATTCTTTAGAAACTGTATTTAGGATTATATTAAGAAATTCTCTCTCACCCTTCTCTTCCTACTTTTTATATTTCCCATGCCTTAAATTATTTTTTTCCTTTTCCATCTCTTTAACTCTTAAGTACACACTTTCCTTTCCACCATTTCCTTCCCAACAAGCTCTTCTTTTCTCACCTCTTTGTTCCTCCTGACCTCTCTCTACAGCAATTGGTCCAATTCCCAGTGTCCAGAGTAGTACAGAATACAGCATATGTGACTGCCAGCCAGCACTGCTGAAAAGGCAGCTAATGTGCACTTTAGCGTCTTCCCTCTCAGATCCATCAAAACACTGCTCTTGGAGATGGTCTCTCAGCCCAGGCTAATAGGTCTACAGGCCTCCCTTTACATGTATACCTAAGGCTAGGCTCCATCCAGAGGGAGAGAAAAACGGGAGGAGAGAACTTACATACTGCAGGAAGCAACTGATGCTAATTTAGTGCTAAGACACTAAATGCAGATAGTTCTACCAATGTTAGTTTTGATACAAGATCTGTGTAAGTGATGTATGTTTGGAGACCTTTGGAATGTCCGTGGGCACTATGAAGTGTGAAAGACACCTTATCTGAGGATTTCCTTGGCTTTTGTAGGTTTCAATTAAATTACTGTTTTCTGAAAAATGAACAAAAACTGTATTTTCTTTTTATACATACTCACATATATAATATTGTGCGTAATGGTCTATAATAGAAACATACACTTTATATAATGGCCTAAATTCACTGGATTGGCTATGCTCTACTCTGCTTCAATGCTGGTGTATCTAGGAGGGCAGAACAAGAGCAAAAGTGGCGTTAAACCTGTGGCCAGCAGACACCAGCCCTGATCCTTGGCACAAGAGTGAAAACCTCAGAGCTGTTCTGTATGTCTGAAATCTAGGCCATTACATGTTTTGGCAGCTGGGAATCAGGCAGCTCCACAGCCACACCTTCACTATGTGGGGGGAATCCACAGGTAGCTGGTTAAACTGGCTTTAAAAGTCTCCTTTGTGCTTCCAGAGCAGAACAACATTGATTTAACAAGCCAGTGGATCTGATCCAAATTTATTAGTACTATTCATTATTCAAGCAACAAGGTAAATGAATGGTACTATTGTGCTTGAATAAAAGTGGCAGTGGGATATCTACATTTGCAGTAATACAACCTTCTCATGAGCTTGAGGTGAAAGGCTATGTATTAAATTAAAAACAACATAAGCTCATGTACTCATTACGGTTAATATTTTACACGTTCAAAAGAAATTTGCCTCCCCTACACAAATGTATGCAACCTTCTTTCTTCCACATGGTATTCGGTATTATTAGTTTCCATAGGATGTTAATGTGTTATGCAAGATTCCTGTATCTAGTTTCTCATGTACATGGGATCACACTTTTAAACAAATACACGCTCATTTGTCTGGACAGCTATATTGGGGCCAAACCCTATATTCAGTGTTCAGAGTAACAGCCGTGTTAGTCTGTCTTTGCAAAAAGAAAAAGGAGTACTTGTGGCACCTTAGAGACTAACCAATTTATTTGAGCATGAGCTTTCGTGAGCTACAGCTCACTTCATCGGATGCATAACGTGGAAACTGCAGTAGACATTATATACACACAGAGACCATGAAACAATACCCCCTCCCACCCCACTGTCCTGCTGGTAATAGCTTATCTAAAGTGATCATCAAGTTGGGCCATTTCCAGCACAAATCCAGGTTTTCTCACCCTCCGCCCCCCCCCCCACAAACTCACTCTCCTGCTGGTAATAGCCCATCCAAAGTGACCACTCTCTTCACAATGTGTATGATAATCAAGGTGGGTCATTTCCAGCACAAATCCAGGTTCTCTCACTCCCTCACCCCCCTCCAAAAACCCCACACACAAACTCACTCTCCTGCTGGTAATAGCTTATCCAAAGTGACCACTCTCCCTACAATGTGCATGATAATCAAGGTGGGCCATTTCCAGCATAAATCCAGGTTTTCTCACCCTCCCACCCCCATACACACACCAACTCACTCTCCTGCTGGCAATAGCTCATCCAAACTGACCACTCTCCAAGTTTAAATCCAAGTTTAACCAGAACATCTGGGGGGGGGGTAGGAAAAAGCAAGGGGAAATAGGCTACCTTGCATATTGACTTAGCCACTCCCAGTCTCTATTTAAGCCTAAATTAATAGTATCCAATTTGCAAATGAATTCCAATTCAGCAGTTTCTCGCTGGAGTCTGGATTTGAAATTTTTTTGTTGTAAGATAGTGACCTTCATGTCGGTGATTGCGTGACCAGAGAGATTGAAGTGTTCTCCACCACTTCAATCTCTCTGGTCACACAATCACCGACATGAAGGTCACTATCTTACAACAAAAAAACTTCAAATCCAGACTCCAGTGAGAAACTGCTGAATTGGAATTCATTTGCAAATTGGATACTATTAATTTAGGCTTAAATAGAGACTGGGAGTGGCTAAGTCATTATGCAAGGTAGCCTATTTCCCCTTGCTTTTTCCTACCCCTCCCCCCCAGACGTTCTGCTTAAACTTGGATTTAAACTTGGAGAATGGTCAGTTTGGATGAGCTATTGCCAGCAGGAGAGTGAGTTTATGTGTGTGTGTGTCTGTGCTGGAAATGACCCACCTTGATTACCATGCACATTGTAGGGAGAGTGGTCACTTTGGATGAGCTATTACCAGCAGGAGAGTGAGTTGGTGTGTGTATGGGGGTGGGAGGGTGAGAAAACCTGGATTTATGCTGGAAATGGCCCACCTTGATTATCATGCACATTGTAGGGAGAGTGGTCACTTTGGATAAGCTATTACCAGCAGGAGAGTGAGTTTGTGTGTGGGGTTTTTGGAGGGGGGTGAGGGAGTGAGAGAACCTGGATTTGTGCTGGAAATGACCCACCTTGATTATCATACACATTGTGAAGAGAGTGGTCACTTTGGATGGGCTATTACCAGCAGGAGAGTGAGTTTGTGTGTGTGTGGGGGGGGGGGGCGGAGGGTGAGAAAACCTGGATTTGTGCTGGAAATGGCCCAACTTGATGATCACTTTAGATAAGCTATTACCAGCAGGACAGTGGGGTGGGAGGGGGTATTGTTTCATGGTCTCTGTGTGTATATAATGTCTACTGCAGTTTCCACGTTATGCATCCGATGAAGTGAGCTGTAGCTCACGAAAGCTCATGCTCAAATAAATTGGTTAGTCTCTAAGGTGCCACAAGTACTCCTTTTCTATATTCAGTGTGTATCTCAAGTAACCAGGTAGTGTACTGAGGAACTCTGTAGGAAGTGGCAAGGGTGGAGGTAGGGAGTAATCCTTTCTCCCAGATCATCAGCAAAGAAGCAGAATCAGTCCATTGTTCCTGTTGCTCTACTGCCATCTCAGGTCTGGATCAGCTCATATCCCTGCTATGCCATTCCCACCTATGACAGGTTTCAGAGTAGCAGCCGTGTTAGTCTGTATCCACAAAAAGAAAAGGAGGACTTGTGGCACCTTAGAGACTAACCAATTTATTTGAGCATAAGCTTTCGTGAGCTACAGCTCACTTCATCGGATACATGTAGTGGAAAATACAGAGGGGAGACTTTATATACACAGAGAACATGAAACAATGGGTGTTACCATACACACTGTAACAAGAGTGATCAGGTAAGGCGAGCTATAGGAGAACGGATGGTGGATCCCTGTCAATGACAATACTTCATCTATTCCACTCCCCTCCAAAAAATAAGATGAAAATCCACCTGTATGTTAAAGTGGAGGGAGCCCCCATAGATTTGAATGCCTTGCCAGCTCCTTCTTCACTTCCCAAATTCCAGAGATCCTCCATGAGCCTTAATGCACTGGCATGACTGTACATAATATCAGTCAGGCCAGTGTAGACCTAGCATATGCAGCCGAAGCCTCTTACTTCTGCACAGAAAGAGGGTCAGGTTTTGGCTCTGAAATTCAAGAAGATTTTTACAACTATGGTAAACTGTGATATATTTAAAATGGAGGAGTGATTTTTAGGAGCAATAAAAAGTATTGGTATACTCATGTTCATTTATATTTTGACTGATGGTATGTGACTTAATTCAATTCACAGAAAGTGTAGTCAGTATGATATTCCTACCTTGATTCACAGACATTTCATTGTATTGAAGATTTAAGTTTAAAACTGGCACGGCCCACAGATATTGCTGTCCACTATCATCATCATGATATTCAAGATACACATCATAAAATATTGGAGTAGCAAAATCCGATAACATCTTGGAAACAGAAACTGTACACTGTAGAAAAAATGTGATCAAAATATGTAATGAAATAATTAGATGATAAAAGTGACCTTTTTTTATTTTAAAATTGTGAATTCCTCCCCCAACCAAATGAAGAAATCTGTCTCTTACAAAGAGCATGCAACAAGACATTCCAGCACTTAAGTTACTTAAAAATTATGGATTTTATACAAGCCACTTGCACTTTATTGCACGTGCACAGACTTCAAACTCAGAAAGTAAGCCTTTAGTTGTTTCCCCCCTTCTTGTTTTACATCAAGAAGAAGAAAAACATACTTAAAGAATCATATGGAACAAATATTGTGGCATTTAACAATTTTTTTTCCTGTTCTATCAGAGAACTTGAGCCTCTTCTAATCATTGGATAGTTTTGAATGCAGCTTAATATGTAAGGTACTAGTTAGATATGGATACAACCTTTATAATCCAGTTTCAGCTACTGAATCTATGTCTAAGGGTATGTCGACGCTCTAGCAATGTAAACAGGGGTGACGCAGGTGGCAGCTCAAGCTAGCTGCTGGAGTACAAATCTGCCCATATCCCAAGCACACGTGCTAATTCTGGTCAAGCTAGAGCATGTCTGTCTACCTGCACCAGGAAGTACAGTTCTAGCTGTTGTGTAGTCATACCCTTCGTTTATTAAATTTACATCCAACAAAGGGATTCATGTGGCTATATGCATTGCCCAGTCACAGACAAAGAAAGCAACTTCAGTAAGTATGGACCAAAACATGAAAACAAAAACAAAAAACAGCACCACAGAGGGGTGAGCCAAGCTGGCATAATTCAATGATCCACACTGAATGGCCAATAGTTTTCCATTTCTATCTTCAATATCTGAATGCATATAAAAGTGAACTCTATGTTTATATATGTATAAAAATGGTAAAGACAATTTAAATGAGGTCAGAGACATTTGTATGAATAATTGGGCAAATATTTATGTGAAAACTAAAGTGGTGTACTGTAAGATTTTCACATCACCCAAAAAGCAGCTAGAACAGATCTGCTATTATACGGCAATAAATAATGCACTTTCTTTGCTACTTCAGTTAGGAAAATTTTCCAAGTGCAGATAAATTAATTAACAATAATTAAAACAACAATGAATAAATAAACCTGTGCTAGGTGCTACACAGTTCCACAGAAATTTACAAATGTTAACCAATATACCTAAGAAACTCCCCCACCGTGAAGTAAGTAATTTTTATCTCCATTTTATAAAAAGGGAAAGTGAGACAAGTTAAAGGTGAAAAAGAACTAAATAAGTTCATCGAGGATAGGTCCAGCAATGACTATTAGCCAGGATGGGCAGGGATGATGTCCCTAGCCTCTGTTTGCCAGAAGCTGGGAATGGGCGACAGGGGATGGATCACATGATGATTACCTGTTCTGTTCATTCCCTCTGGGGCACCTGGCATTGGCCACTGTCGGAAGACAGGATACTGGGTTAGATGGACCTTTGGTCTGATGCACTATGGCCGTTCTTATGTGAAATGCAAAGAAAGTGTAGGGATTTCAGGCATATTGTGTCTTTCTATTAATAGTGAGTCAATAGCAAAGCAGAGATTTAAAGAAAAAAGAACCCCTCATTGTTCCAAGTCTCATGCTTATTTCACCAGACTTCACTGGCTGTATGGTATGTAACGCTGCATTGTTCTGTGATGTGAATGGTACCCGAGACTTAGCAAATAAACTCATTTCACTCAGTATGCTAAAAGGTAGAATAAGCAACAGTTTCACAATAGAAAAGCTAGTGCCACAACTCATGGCTCAACTTACTCACTTCTTTTCACACATACACTTTCACTGACAAGACTTAAAAATTACTCAACTAAAAGCTCCAAAATAAAAATTTACTTCACGCTTACACTTTGTTGATAAGTTGTTCCAAAAGTATAAGCAGCATTCAGTCTAGTCAGTGTGTCAGGACAAAGCTGCACAAAGAGAGTCATTAGTTCAGACATTTTTGTGTACATTAATTCAAAGGCACAACTTTTGCAACTTGTAGAATACACAATACCTACATAGTTTATACACCTGCAGTTCTACTTAAGATTTATTTCGTTTAAAACGAGATACTTATTTTAAATTCTGAAAACAGAATAAAACCAATTATTTACCATGGTACTTTGAGTATTGCCTCTGCTTATTCACACTTGTGGGATGCTCTTCGCTTCACCACCGAACTTCTCAACCCCGTGGAATGCAATGTCCAACAGGGTTGCATGAACATCCTCTCATGGTGCTGAATGTTCAGACCTGGGATAACAAAAACTATGCAGCCTCACTGCATCAGTTCCTGCGGCTAAACCCCAGAGTCCTATAAGAAAAGAACTCCACAGAAGAGAGGAAGGTAAGTGGACCGTATGAATATGCAGATGCGACTCTCTCAAAGCACCAGAATTACCCTGGCAAGAAACAATTATTTCTCCTTCAAGATGGCCTCTTCATTTCCCCCACTTGTGGGAATGTAGCAAGCAATGCAACTCTCAGGAAGATGACTTGATTTCTGATTAAATGAGGACTGCAGAACCATCCTGCCAAAGCAAGCACCAAATTGAGAGAGACCAGAACTGTGTAAATGTGAGTAGAACTCCTGGAATCATTATAGGCATATTATTGATATTGCTTTAGTCCGACATGCATAATCTAATACATTAAGGTACTGAGTTCCCTTACATTGGCTCCTAAAGGCTACAAAACATTTTCTATTTAGGAAATGAACAGCAGTCTTATCCAAATAAAAACTCATACCCTTAGCACCTTGGACAGAGAGTCTAGTTTCCCATGGGTGATAATGAGTTTTGGAATTTAGCGATCTGATTCGGAAGAAACTCAGACACCACATTTGCAGTAAATTTGGAAGGCAGTAACAGGACAGTCTTATCCTGAGGGAACACTGTAAAGAAGGGTAAGATATTGAAACCTGCAACTAACCCACTCTTCCATAGTGACAGCAATTTGAGATTCTCCAACAGCTGTCCTGATGAGCCTACCAGCTCACTCTATCACAACTCACAGACCTAAGGCCCTACTAAAATGCCTTCCCAATTTGAGGATCCAACAGAGCCAGACTCACTGAACATTCTCTAGAAGAGTATGCACCTGAGCGCCCAACCATTTACTCTACACACAAACCACAAATGGAAGAGGAGGAATCATGGGCCATGCACACACAGCTGCTTGTGGAAGGGAAAGAACGGAGGTGGCTGGGACCTTGGCTCTGAGTGACTGATGCCACAGGAGGCCAATAGCCCATGCCCTCTAGAAGGTTTCTAGGTGCTCAGGAGTTACACTGGTGGGAATGGGAATATGAAGAGGCCACCTTGAACAAGAAACCACCTCTAAAAAACTATTTTTATTAAATAGGCAATTCCATTATCAGAATAAGGTTGCACTAAAGTAACTGTAGTTATCTGAACACTCAGGTGCTGTATTTGTGCTCCTCTCCATCTTGGTCTCTTCTCTAAAAGGCAATCAATATTTTGATAGTGCAGCAACAATGTAATTAAAATCACACTTACCTGCAAGACACCTCCTTCCAAATTTTGCCATTTAAGAAAGTTTCCCTCTGCATCATATGAAGCTGCGATAAGCTGCAGTTTTATATTCTGACAATAGAAGACAAAACTCTTTTAAAAGACTGAATGATATATTTTAGGCACCTCCATCCCATTTTTCAATAGTTTACTAGAACCTTGCATACAACATTTCATTTTCTCCTTTTCTATTTTGTATATATAAATATTAATCTTAGTTCCAAGATTCCATGCTTTGTTCCATGCTTTTTAAATTTACTTTCCAACTCTTCTAGCATCAGCATCAGTGTGATGTGAAAAGCAAAGATGGTAAAAAAATATTGACAAACTTTTTTTCCATAAGAATTTGCTGATCTGTTGAAATCAAAACGTTCCAGGGAAACGGTTTGATTTTGATGAAGTTCTTTTAGAAACCAGGCAAGGTTCCAACATACTCAAGGCCAAGAACCTCAGGACTTCCAGGGTCTGTAGCCCTGGGGCAACTTGCCAGGCAGATTGCCTCAGTCAAGGATTCCCTTTTGTGAAGAATTTCAAAATTGTTGGTTTTTGTTCCAAATCAGAATGAAACTAGTTTTCAAAGGAGCGAAATCCCTCATGAAACAGAATACTTTTCTCCACTCAGCTCTAGTGAGACATTAGTTTGGTTATTCCCTAAGTATTGGGTGCCATATTATGCCATTGATTTCTAAACAAAACGTTCCAAAGTAGTTAATAGGGGATCTGTTTAATAATCAATGGACTAATACATTCCTCAAGGTATATCCAAGGTGGCTGCTGGTGAAGAATAAGCATAAGGAGGACAACATTGTTTTGGCTAGGTTCTAATAACAGTAGCTAGTTTGTTTGTTTTAAATTTCTCAGCAACAGAATGCAGAGAAGGGCATATTTTCTAAATAGGTATTTAGCATCCAATGGATATTTCCACAGCAAATGATTGTCCCTTTGAAGAATTAAATAAATTATGACCAATACACACTTAGCCATAACATGAAAATAACGGTTTAATTGTTAAAAAAAATTTTTTTAAAAAAAATATAAAAGCATTGCAATGTTAGTTAAAAACCCACTGACTAAATTGTGTGTGAAAACTTGATGATGGTTGTTATTTCTGAATTCAACTATAAGAGAACTTAAGATGAACTTGAAAATGTAATTGCTAGACAGCTTATTATAACCAGCACTCTTTTTTGGTATTTCATTCAAATTTCAGAGCACATTTAACTTAAACAAATTTATGAAGATTGTGTGCAAAATAAGGAATCAATTGAATATCCTGTCAAAAAAAGGACATTCTGTATTAAAATGTTGCCTAAATCCATGCCTTGCGCAGCTCAATTAGCTTTAATGGAGTTATACCAGAGATGAATTTGGCCCTTAAATATCATCATGTCTTGTACCTCACAATGCCTACCTTGTTTGTTCCTTTAAAACTGAAGCTTGTAGGGAACTGGGTTGTATCAAGTACTTGAGATGCTAATCCTGGCTGGTCACCATAGTACAGCCATGGAAGATTCTGTCTCCTGCAAACAGTTATATTTTGTTTTCTTCATGGGGCCTTAATATTTTATGCAAGACTATACATTTGTACTAATTTCTATGTAAACATTAATACTGAAAAAAAATGTGTGAATCGATAACATTATAGAAGATGTAACATACCAGAAGGACACTGAATGAACGGTGCCTAGCCCTGCTGTATTTGCATAGACATACTGAAACAGACCACATGCATCACTAGTGATAGAGCTTAACGAGTTCATGTTCATCACACACATATTTCCAAGTGCTTGGCATGATGTTAGATTGGAGTACAGCTACAAAGAAAAAAAAAACAGTAAAGAAAACTATTGCTAATAGCCACATCTTGTTGGTATGGCAAAAATGAGGTAATTTTAAACCTTAACAATTCATCCCTAAGGCATTAATTTTACTCTGAAGTTTATTGCTTTGTTTACATCTAATGTCTTCCTCCAAGCACACACTCTACATTTATATTTGGATTATGTAAGGCAACACACAGTCAGTATTATCACCTTTTTATACACAGGTCACCTAGATTTTCAGATTGTATATGTTTTTTAATTTTAGGTTAAAGTAAACAGATGATATAATGGAATAGTAATTTCAAAGTCTGGTGATAAAAAATCCTTGTTTTAGAATTCAGATTGCTCAGGTTTTATGTCAAAGATGATTTCTCCAAAGATCTAAGAACAATCAATACATATCTAACTTGAGCAAGCTGACAAGCATCATCTACTTCATCTTCAGTTCATATCATATTGCTCCATCATATTGAAGATTTACATAACATAGGAGAAAGCAGAGAAGGCAGACTGTGGTGATTATTTCTGTTCATAGAGATTAAAGCTCAATGATTAATTGAAAGCCAATTGGTAAAGCCAGCAGCCAATCATCACTGAAAATCTGAACCAATGATGAATATCATCGAATAGCAGTTGGTCATGCAGGGTTTATTTTATTTTATTTTATTTTAAGTATATCAGATTTCTAGGTTTTCAAATAAACCCCTGTTAACACATTATATCTCTCTTTCTTAAATTCCTTTTGTTCTAGTCACTTGCTGTGACATGTACAAGACCCAAATCTATATGTAGGTATTTATGTGGCCCCCACCCTCTAAGAGTCCAAGCACTACATAGACAAAACACTGAACTACTATCATCCCCACTTAATACTGTAGATGGCTGATTGAGGCACAAAGAGGCTAAGTGATTTGCCCAAGATCACACAAGAAATCTGTGGCAGAGCAGGAAAATGAACTCTGATCTTCTCAGTCCCAATCTAGTACTTTAACCATAAGTGCTCTCTTCTCTGTGGTCAGAAAAGGCTCCAGTCAACCAAAGCTGAGCTAATAAAAGAAAAAGCAAACACTAAAGTAACAAAATATTTAAAAAAAATTAAATTTAAATCTTAATTTTCAATAAAACAAATTTACTCTTTGTAAAATAACAAAAGGCTTCACCTTTAGGATAAATCAAACTAAAAGACCAATACATTTTCATAATCTTTTAATCTATTTTTTTTGGGAGGGGGTAGTCTAAGAAGATTCTTCACTTCTTTGGGAATTGTTCTCCTATACTATAACTCCCACTAGCATTGATTACTGTCTAAAAAAAAAAAACACAGTACCTATTTTCTCCTCTTTGTAGACTGTCATCCCAAAATAAGTTTTCTTTAAAAATAAATTGAATACATCAAGTTTCAAAAATTAAAGTGTCATGTGTTATGTATTTCAGATTTATCAGATTACTATTTCTAAGTAAAACACACGATACAAATTCAAAACATGCTCAAAACTTACCCAACAAGCAGCTGCTGATGCTTGTAGGTTTTTCAGAAACCATGCGGATACCACTGTTATACCCTGTAAATAAGGAACCATTGCATTACAGTATCTGTTTTCAGCTGTAAATAGAACGTCAATTAACTCAATATATCAGAGTCTGGAAAATAATACGGCATGCCAATTGAAAGACTTGGGACTATTTTTCTAACTTTTCTAAAAGCTCTTTTCCTTGAAAAATAATGTCCCTTTGGAAATGATCTATCACTTAAAGCTACAGCTTGGTACAAAACAGGTAGACTATAGCAAAGGAAAAGTTTGTGCTGCTTCAGTAAGAAAGATATTAATGCCTGAACCAAAAAGAAAGACTTAAGCTTTGAACCTGCATGCTACCACGAATGGGCAGATCAAACTGCCCTTGAGGAGTGCCAGTGACGTCAAAGGGCCTATGTGCAGGTACACGGGTTCATGTATGTGCAACAGCTTCAGCGCTTTATTTGCTAAAACTTACTGAGTTTGATAACAGTAATAAAAAGGAAAATAATGCAACTAGACAGATCTAAAATGAAAAAGGTATCTTTTGTCTGTGAAATACAAACTGAAGGCCTGTTTTCAGTAACAAACTATTTAGAAAAACAGACATTTTCAGAAAGCGTGACTAATCCTGCTTTAAAACACACTACTTTTCTTCTCCTCTCTTTCATAATAAAGCACTCTTCAATTCTGAACAGAAGAACACAAGAATAGGCATACCTGGTCAGCCCAAAGGTCCATCTAGCCCACTATCCTGTCTCCTAACAGTGGCCAGTGCCAGGTGCTTCAGAGGGAATGAACAAAACAGGGCAATCATCAAGTAATCCATGCCCTACCTTCCAGTCCCAGCACTTGGCAGTCAGAGGCATAGAGACATCCAGAGCATGGGATTGCATCCCTTACCCTCTTGACTAATAGCCACTGATGAATTTATCTAATTTTTTTTTCAGAATACAGTTATAGTTTTGGCCTTCACAATATCTCCTGGCAACGAGTTCCATGGGTTGACTGCTTTGCGTGAGGAAGTATTTCCTTTGTTTTCTTTTAAACCTGCTGCCTATTAATTCCATTGGGTGATCCCTGGTTCTTGCATTATGTGAAGGGGTAAATAACACTTCCCTATTCACTTTCTCCACATCATTGATGATTTTATAGACCTCTATCACATCCTCCCTTAATCATCTCTTTTTGAGACTGAACAGTCCCAGTCTCTTAAATCTCTCTTCATATGGAAGCTGTTTCATAACCTTAATCATTTTTGTTGTCCTCCTCTGTACTTTTTCCATTTCTAATATTTCTTCTTTGAGATGGGGTGACCAGAACTGCACAGAGTATTCAAGATGTGGACATACCATTGATTTATATAGTGGCATTTTATTTTCTGTTTTATCTATCCCTTTCCTAACGTTTCCTAACATTCTGTTAGCTTTTTTGACTATTGCTGCACATTGAGAAGATGTTCTGAGAGAACTATCCACAATAACTCCAAGATATCTTTCTTGAGTGGTTACCACTGATTAGACCTGTGGTGAGGCGGCTGCCCCACACAGGCAGGAGAAGGGTTAAGGCAGCCTTGGAAAGGCTGTGCAGAACCCAGCCAATCTGGAGAAGGCTTGCTAGAGCAGACCATATATAAAGGACTGCTCAGCAGAACAAGGGGCAGTCTCTCCCTGGAGAACAATGGGGAAGGACTGTCCGCCCAGGAGCACTGGAAATATTGCAGTGCTGGGCAGAGTAGCAGAGCTCTTGGCTGACCATGGCCAGACTGAGGCCCTGAAGCAAGAGCAGAGAAGGTGCTAGGGCTATGGGGGAAGAGGCCCAGGGAAAGTAGGCAGTGGGAACAGGAGGAGCAAGTGGCTGCCAGCTATAGGGTCCCTGGGCTGGGACCCAGGGTAGCGGGTGGGCCTGGGTTCCCCCCTCCCTTTACCCCTACTTGCCAATGAGGAGAGTGGCCTAAATCCAGACTGCAGTTTTCCCCTGAAGCCAGGGGCTAGACTAGAGACTGCAGTTGGCTGCTGAGGCAAGTGGAAGGACTGAGGACTGCCTGTCCCCCAGAATGGGGGAGACAATGGGCTGGGGCACAGCTGTAGGGCTGTGTCCTGAAGAGGACTTTGTGGTCTGGAAGCAACGCGGGTTGAGACAGTGGAGAAAGTGGAAGTAACGGCGAGTGAGACACCACTAAGAAAAGGCACCCTGCTGGTCCAAGAGAGCTAATTCTCAGCATGACGAGCAGGAGGCGCCGCAGGGGTGGGTCTGAACTGCTATAAGACCATCATTTTGTATGTATACTTGGAATAATATTTTCCAGTGTGCATTACTTTGCATTCATCAACATTGAATTTCATCTGCCCTGTCACCCAGATTTGAGAGATCTCTTCTTAACTCTTTGCAGTATGCTTTAGACTTAACTATCTTCATTAATTTAGTATTAACTGCAAACTGTGTCACCTCAGTTTACCCCCTTTCCAGATCATTTATGAATACGTTCAACAACACTGGTCCCAGTACAGATCCCTGGGGGACACCACTATTTACCTCTCTATTTGGAAAACTGACCATTTATTTCTACCTTTTGTTTTCTGTTGGGATGGGGCGTCTGCCCCTCACTGGCAGAAAAGGGGTTAAAAGCAGCCCTAGGGATGCTATGCAGGAGGCAGCCAGTCACAGAAGGGCTTATAGGAGCAGCCAATAAGGGCTCGGCTGGCACATATAAGAAGGGCTGCAGAACAGAGGAGTTTCAGTCACTTCCTAGAGCTTGAGAAGGGATGAGGACAGGCTGCCTTTCAGGTGGAGGACAGCAAGCACCCTGGACAGCTCAGTGCTGCAGGCAGAAACCCAGAGAGCTAAGGGCAGCTCCTGGCAGGCGGAAGGGATCTGCAGACTGAGGCCCTGATGCAAAGGCAAAGAGGGTGCTGGTGCCATGTGGGAAGCGGCTAGACCGTGGACTGCAGTTTGCTACTGAAGGGAGTGGCCGGACAGTAGACTGTAGGTCCCCTGGGAAGGGGGGGAACAGCGTGGACTGCCAGAGGGCAGTGTCACTGAAGAGGACGCTGCAATCCTGGGAGTGACGTAGGTCCAGGAACAGAGGTGACAGAAGACAAGACACTACCAGAAGAAGGTGCAGCACTAATTCCCCAGTTAGCTAGCAGGTGGTGCTGCACTGGTCAGGCACGCCCCGTCACACGTGCTGGAGAATGCGGGCACACAGCCACCCCTGATATAAGGGGAGGATAGAGAACTGTGGGAACGATTGCTTGCCTCAGAGTTGAGAGACTGAGGCACACAGAAGATGGAGACAATGGAGTGGTGGTATGCAGAGGCCTTCTTTGCAAAGGGTTCTTGTGCCTTCTCAGACTGACTCTAAAGTCGATGCCCCGTGAAAAGAGGCCAACAAGCAGCAAAGGTGGCTTCAGGCCCTGTTACTGCAGGTGCTCACAACCCAACAGAGACAATGGGAGGCATCGGAGTACCTGCAGGCCTATATGACCCGACTAGCAGAACAGCAGCAGTACCTATTCAAGTTGCTAGGAGGGTCCACAGAGGCTGCGGAGAGCAAGGGAGGAAGCCAAGCACCAGGATCAGGGGCCCAGTGGCTGGGCCAAGTGAATGTTATGCCTGTGGGAAACATGGACACTGGAAGAGAGAGTGCCCCTACTGGGGTGGGAGATAGAAGCCTCTCCCAGAGACTGGGAAGGGGTGAGAGCCCAAGAGATTCCCTCTTGTGAGGAGAACAGGAAGGAAATGAGTATGTTGGACCTGTGGGCAACAGGGACCCCTAAGGAGGGAGTGCCCTCTAAGTTGAAGGGCCGAAGCTACTCCAGGGGAAGGGGCTGAGCAAGGGAAGGACAATGGGAGGCCCATGGCCAAGGGGAGGCAAAGGGCTTGCTTCCGGTGCCATGAAGAGGGCCATATAAAAAGACTCTACCCCCTTTGGAGAAGGCGGGATAAAAAAGGGATGCCCGAGAGCTGGGTGTGATGGGTTTAGTCACAGAGATCCCCTGGGGACTGTCATCTGATGTGCTGAAATCACCTCTGAGCCTGTTTTCCCTGCCACTTGGGGACTTCCAGAACCCTGTCTTGTTGAGCAACACAGACCCAGAGTCCGGGCCATGCCCCCAAAGCTGCAGGCTTTAAGTGAAAACAGCTCTGCAGGTTACCTGACTCCAGAACCCAGCTCCCAATGGGATCCAAACCCCAGATACATCCATTTTACTCTGTATAAAGCCTTTATAGGGTAAATTAATGAATTGTCCACCTTCTATAACACTGATAGAGATATGCACAGCTGTTTGCTCCCCTGGGGATTAATCACTTACTCTGGGTTTACTAATACTTAATAAAATCACTTTTGTTTATCAAAAGTAGGATTTAAGTGGTTTCAAGTAATAACAGACGGAACAAAGTAAGTTACCAAGCAAAATAAAGCAAAAACATGTAAGTCTAAGCCTAATACATTAAGAAACTGATTACAGGTAATCTTACCCTCAGATGTTCCAATAAACTTCTTTCACAGACTAGACTCCTTCCTAATCTGGGCCCAATCCTTTCCCCTGGTACAGTCCTTGTTAGTTAAAAAGCAGCCATCTCAGGTGGTAACTAGGGGTTTTCTCATGATTGGCCACCCTTTGTCCTGCTCCACCCCCTTTTATAGCTTTAGCACAAGCTGGGAATCTTTTCATCTCTCTGAGTCCCCATCCCTCCTTCTAAATGGAAAAGTACCAGATTTAAAATGGATTTCATTGTCAGGGACCCCAGCCTCAGTTCTTCCTGGGCTGGCCCAAGTACACAGGAAGGTTTGCAAGTCCCAACGCCCCGTGATGCACCAGTTTGCATCGCAGGATTCCCTTTGCTTTCGTCCACATTTGGCACCATCTTTTAACATTTTTTGTACTGTACGCTCTGTCTTCTTTCGGTCTGCGGGAATGGAGCCCAAACTGCTGAGGAGTATGCTGACGAGTCTTGCCAGCACGTCACATTTGGCAGTCGATCCAAAGTGATAGTGAGGGCTCTGATGATATCAACTTGAGTAACGCATATGACACGAGTTT